TTCAGCGTAATCCGTTTTCATTTTATTATCTCTGTAATCATATCGATATTCACGACTATGTCATTTACCCTACTCTTTAAAAACTCGCGATACTCAGCTGACAGTTTAAATATCCGGTCATGTGCCTATATACGTAAATGGCAAATTCATTAAAAAGGATTGTTTTTAAGTTTATAATATATATCATCAAACAAATATCATCAAATATCGTGGGATCGGAAAAAACATTTGCGCTATATTCCGCAGTAACAGAATTCAATCGAAAAAGACCACATTGAACAGAAAATCGAGCGGAAAACGTATGTCACGCGCTCGCGAGAACTGAATAGCCGATGCGTAGAAGCGATGCGCGTTGTACGCAACCAATCGGCGAGCCCAACGTTAGCCGACTGGGGATGAGACGCGATACACGATTGGTCGGCGGCTCGAGCTCACAGCCAATCACGAAAGGACTGATGCGACATGCCGCGACAGCGGCCACCTTCCACCGCGTTGATCGCTCGTCACTCATCACATGACCCGCGCCACTGTACTCCGGTAGTCCGGTAGGCCATATTTGACAGTGGGCCACTAGTTTAGCGCCGTGAGTGACGTGAAGATCGCTTTGCGTTCGACGATCCCGCGCGACCGATCTCCGTGCAACCTGTAAATACACCCGCGATCGACTTGACCGCCGAGATCTAACAAACCAGGCCACAATGAGTACAGAAGAAGCCCCGATGTACTCGCCGTTCTTCGGCGTTATGGGCGCCGCCTCTGCCATCGTATTTTCTGGTGAGTTTCGACTGTTTGTCCCGTCGCCACCTCGTGATCTCGCTCATTCGCTCGCTCGCTAATACATGCGGTGCGCATTGCGCTCGTTGACGACGTCAGCGAGAAGGAGACCGCGAGGCACGTCTTACAGGTCTTACAAGTCCTATTGCGTCTCGGGGTCTCCGCGTACTTGGCTCATTGATGTCGACGTCGCGTGTCAACGTTGTTCATCGACGTCGTCCCCGTAGGAGCGCCGATATAACGTTTCTCACGCCATTTTTCTCGCGCAGCGTAAGACAAATGAAAATCGTGCGAACAGCGCGGCGCGCACGGATTATCGATCCTCCCCGCGAACGGCGAAGAAGAAATGCGGAGGAGACTGGAGAGCTCTCATTTTCCACGGGGCGTACGCGGACGTGCGGCGACGTCATGTGCCGCGAGACGCGTGACGAGCCACGACAACGGTGACGTTATCCTTCGTAAACGGAAACCGTAATAACGAAGCTCCTATGAAAATTTCAACGACCTTATCTTATCTCGAGAATTGAGGCTGTCTCGTTCAGCTATCGTTGATGGTTCCTCTTGTATCGTTTCGTTTTCTATGTCGTTTACTTTTGTTCCGTTTCCATTTGTTGCTCGCCTCCGTTCTCCCTTTAAATTATTTCTCTTCTTCTCACACCGAACCGAACGTCTTGCTCGGCCCTACAGATTTGGCAAATTCCCGAGAAAAGATGGTCCAAGAAATCTGCGTCGGTCGCGCTCGCGCATTCCCTGCTCCTGGGGAACGCGTTTTATTCGCGAATTAGCGCGGAATAGCCAGACCGGGCGCAGCTGTTATTTCGTAATGCTGACCTCGGTCGAGCGGTAGCGACTTAGAATTTTACGAGCCTTGGAAAAGAGATGCAGAACGGACAGATGGATAGATGGAGGAAACAGACGGACAGACCGGGCGTGCGCCTCGTGCGTGTCACGAGACGCGTTCACGCGTTTCCCCGCCACGCCGCGCCGATTGTCTCCTGCTTTCTTACCTGCACCTCACCTGTACTTTTTACACCTTATCCTTTTACTTTTCAATTTTTTTTTTGTTAATGTTAAACGGTGTCTACGTTTAGATTTTAAGACGTAAAACTTAAATCTCAAACCGAATGAAATTGATCAACCACAATTGAATACGAAGAGAATAATCGACTGTGATATAATTTGTGACTGAATAATTTTTTACGATTTAAGATTTTACTTAAAGTTTAGTTTTTACACCCCTTAAAATTTTATTGTAGATGCCGCTTTACAGCAACATCGATCTGTCTTTTTCTCGATCGCGCTTCTTCTTGGAAGCGTCTCAGCTTAGGAAAGTATAAGTGCAAGAAAACTACAGATCATCTGCTTCCTCGTGAGGCGAATGCGCTCCCGACTCCCGCGTATCGATTTACAATTAATGATTTTCCCGAATTCGTGGTAAACGGTGACCCCCGGGGACTGCCGCCACCGCCGCTAGCGAGCGTCGCTTTTACCCGTCGGGGAAGATCAATACGAATGCCTTTTCCCGTATATATGCGCTCTCGGCACTCAGCCTTTTCGTCGGGAATGCGGGATCGCGTCGTCAGGAGCAAAGGTCGCGATTTTCTTCATCACTCTTCCCTGAAGAATCGATATCGATCGCATAGATGACCTCCGTCATGAGATTAGATTTGTTCACTTTATTTGCACTTTTTGCACTCAGCATCTTTGCTTTCTCTCTCTTTAACGCTCTATAATATATTGCGATGTATGCTTCAACGGAAGCATACAAATTGATCGTGGGCCGATTCGGCAATCGCATCCGACTTGCGTGTATTGAGAGAATTTCGCTTCAACGTGCCTGCTCATTAATCTTCGTGACGAAAATTCGGCGAAAAAGAGACGAATTTCGAAATGCAAGAAGGGGTAGCCCACTTGTTTGATCTACAACACCTCGTGCGAGCCAAGCATAATCGAATTACGAGCGCTCAAGAGGTGTTTATTTATATATGATAAGGCATGCATATATGTTCGCACACGATAAGGTTCGTAGCAACGATGATTAAATAGCCACGAGCATGACGTTATTAGAGTAGGATGTTAGGGCTACGAGAAGAGAGAAAAAGAAAAAAATGACATTATTGCCTCTCCCAGCCACGCGCCACGCCTCCCTATTCACGAGATGGAACTTGTGCGATTGTCATGTGACTGCCAACGTGAGAATCATGTGACTGCGATTTCCAGGCTGGGCTGGGTCAGACTGGGTACCCGGTGTTACGGGGACACCTGGCGACTACTAGCGACGTCCCACGATCGGGATCGTCGACGACGACGCACAAGAAAGCAGGAAAATGACTCGGGCAGGAAAATTATTTTCGTCGCTTCTCCATTGGGACAAGTTCGATCGATAATCCTTGTAATTGTCAAGGAATATACTGTCCAAAGAATACGCGTGATGCTTGCAATTTATGATTCCTTTTTTTTTCATTTTATCAAATTTTCTCCCAAAAGATTTAATTTGTATTACGTTCGCCAATCATCTACAGCAACGGTCTCTAAAATGAATTCCCATCTTATATGTAACAACATTGTGAAAGCAATAATGGTGTAAGTCATTTTTTAAATCTATCATCTTGGGAGGACATTGATGTAAACATGAAAGAACCTTTTCTTTTTCGAAAAATAAAAGTGACTTATACATTATGATTTTCACTCCATGTTTTTTCTCACACAATTAAATAATTTTATTCGAATATTTCAGAGTATAGAAAATATCTTCAACTTTTTATCTATAAACTTTTATTAAATTTATAAACGATTAATGGCGGAGGAAAGAGTATGTAACTCATTTGATATATACCTTTGTAACAGATTTATTACTATATTTATATTATAGATATTTATATTATAATTTGTTACGTTCCCTTTTTATTATGAGAGGATATTTTGTAGTAAGATTATTTATATTTAATTATTATAGGAAAATAAAAAGAACTAAAAGCCTTTTGAATTATTCATTGTAGTCATAGACAATTGGAATATTTATGAGAATAATGGAGCAATCCGTAAGGTAACATCTCAAAGTGCTAAGAATAAGAATGAAGATTCCCAAGTTTGAGTTTCAATTTGAGATTCCGTTAAGTTTTCGATAATTATTGCTAATATTTCTTACCGTGTTTATTTGTTATACTACGACGAAATATGCACATATACAATTATCAAGTTATCGCTCGGTATTTTCCGTTTCATATAAAATCCTGCATTATTATCGTATTTTTTATTTTACTACAACAGATGTTGAAACTACTGTCAAACTATCATATATTTAACAAGCAATTTAATTTAGCTATCTATAAATGTTTCAAAATGTTTTGTACCTGATTATTAATATTCAATTCTGTAACTTGTAAAACACTGAGATGTTGAATATATATAAATCAATTTACATGAATATACTATATAAAACAAATAATTCTTATTAATTTATATTTTTGTTACAATTATACGAATCACTAATAACGAATTATTTTGTTTCACAGCTCTGGGAGCAGCATATGGCACAGCAAAGGCCGGTACAGGAATCGCAGCGATGTCTGTCATGAGGCCAGAATTAATCATGAAATCCATTATTCCTGTTGTCATGGCAGGTATTATTGCCATTTATGGTCTTGTAGTAGCAGTACTCATTGCGGGTAGTCTTGGGAGAGCTCCTAAATATGACCTGTACAAGTACGTATCTTTTATACATATCAATCTGTTATTATTTAAATCTTTCTACATTAAGCAGCGTTTTATAATATGGTAATTAAATATTTTTACGTTTATCATACATGCTCTGTTAAAAGAATGTAAACGCTTATTGTTTGCAGTAGACTCTATAATTAATGAGATATTTTTGTTCTGCTTATTAGTGGTTTCACTCACTTGGGTGCTGGTTTAGCTGTAGGCTTCTCTGGTCTAGCAGCTGGATTTGCTATTGGCATCGTGGGTGATGCTGGTGTAAGAGGTACCGCTCAGCAACCTCGTCTTTTCGTCGGCATGATCTTGATTCTGATCTTCGCCGAAGTATTGGGTCTCTACGGCCTGATCGTCGCTATCTACTTGTACACAAAGTAAACGGTCAGTAGCGGCATCCTACTACCTGCCATGGCTCCATGCAAGACATGTCGCCTGCAACCAACAGCGCTCCCCGACTACTATTATGCTACAACTTGTTTCGACATATTTTACTTAATCACGTTACTCCATGCATACCTAATTACCATCTCGGCTCATCTCTGCGCGTTCCCCTGTCATACTAAAAAAAAAATGATTCATCTATTTAGCGTACGGACATTTAACCACATCCATGCATTATTTGTCACACGGATTGCATGATTATATCGAAGGTGCTGCGATTGAGAAGTGCGGCCGACTTTTTTTTTCTTAATTTCGCGACACTGATGCGCAACGACGCATTTCGACACTGCAGTGTATGGAGAAGCGATTGTAAAGTGGGAAAAAACGAAAGAGTGTGGAAAGCAAATATCGACAGGGAAATACATATTTAGAGAAAAGATCTCCTGTGTTAATCCCATCGTCGAACATTTCTTTTTCACTGTATAGTAATCATTTATAGCTTAGTACGACATTGAATTACCAGTTAAAGTAATCGGCTCTACTGAGTGTATAAAGGAAAATATGTTATTGATAAAAGAATATTTAGCACAATTATATATATATATATACATATATATATATATATATATATAAATATATTATAAATGCAATCGCGAAACGGCAGGTACGCGAATAGGAAACACAAAAGAAAACTAAAGAAACGAAATTATATCATCGGAATAGAAATATGTAAGAATAAGTAACACGCAAATTATGCGTGGTAAAACGGCGTAATATAACAGAGCGAGAAAGGAAGAAGAGAGAGAGAGAGAGAGAGAGAGAGAGAGAGAGAGAGAGAGAGAGAGTTTATGAGAATGTGTACCAGACAAGATCTCGCGTGAATAAAGATTGTGTAACTAGAAGTTAATAGACAAGGAATGATATTGATGGATGAAACTTTAGTAAAAAGAAAAAATATAAAAAAATGTATGAATGCAAGTAGATCAACAGGTATACACGATAGTATTAAGTCAATTGAGAGAGGCTGCTGGATACGACGGAATTTCATGTTTTCACAGTTATTCATGGACAACGATAGATAAGAGGAGGAAAAAAAAAGAAATGATCCGCCTAATCGGGTTGTCAAAGCCGCAAAGGCCAGCGGTCGACACTCGATTAGTCGTGATTTTAATCTGGTTCCACATTATTTCCATCATCGAAACTAATGTCGTATGTCAATGGAGTAACGGATATATGTGAAAGCTTGTGTAAAACCGATAACCATTCGTACCAGTGGACACATCAGTACACACACACACACACACACACACAACACACAGAGAGAGACAGAGAGAGAGAGAGAGAGAGAGAGAGAGAGAGAGAGAGAGAGAGAGAGAGAATACATACCGTATGATGGTAAAACCAATGATCATCTGAGAGTTATATGTACGCTGATAATAACATGTAAACGGAGGATAATTTGTACATTCCATATTAAGTTCGTTCAGTATAGGCGAGCGGGTGTTTGGTGACAAAATTCACAAAAATTGCAGCCCACGCTGCGTCGCATTCTTCAAGAAATTGGCCGCACATGCATACACACACCTTACACGTGGGGCAACAGCCGACAGACGGATTTGTGTCGTCCTGGGATGGATTGTCCTTTGGGAGCTGGCAATCGTACTCCTTTGTGCGCGCAATCCTTCGATCGATCGCTACCATTTTTCCCCACAGTCGTTCGGGTACAAAAGAGGAGCAAAAAAGCCAAATCCATACGGAAAGTGCGAAACCAGAGCGCCCGCTTGCCACTTTTGACTGCGCAGTATTTTCTACCTAAGAAAAATGCAAACAAGTTTAACGATATAGGCGTATTTCCGATGAAGAGAGGAAAGGACTCATCGAATTGATAAATTTATTTGTCGGGGATAAAAATGATCGAAAGGATTTAATAACATTTGTCTGGAAAACTGCCACTCTCGCTTTGGAAATGCACTTGTATACGTATCCGAGATACAGCAAAAACAATAGTCATCTCGACGGGAACGAAGAACGAGCGATAACAAACATGGAAGAGAAGTTGCAATTTTCCGGAAACTTGCGTAGTTTAAAAAAAAAGAAATAAGAAACGAAAAAACTATACACGAGCGAGCCGGGGAGCGGTGTGGTGGTGATTCGTTTGCCTCTTCATTTTTTTTATCTTTTTGTTTTCTCCTTGCAACGGGAATCTTCGTCGCTTTATGCAGGTACGCTAAACACGTTTTATCGCCAACTACCCTTCTTCCCTTTATATTTTTGTCCGTTGTATATTTTAATATGTACGATGTATCGGGGGGAAACCGAACGTGATTATATAGGAAAGCTACAAGTAAATGAAAAAAAAAATGAGAAAGACGAACCCGGGGATTTAATTATAGTTGTGCGTGCGCGTGTGATGTATATACATACCACCACGATGCTTCACGCTACGATAATTACAATTTAGGCTAACTCTAGGTTAGGTATTGTTGTATACCAAAACCTCGTAGCTGAGTGAACGGTAATTATTCGGATATATGCGAGAGATTGTGTGAGAGCGAGCGAGAAAGAATGAAAGAGTGCGAGAAGAGCGTGAGAGTAATAGAGCGAAAGGTAGATGCATCTGGCAGAGGGAGCAGAGAGACCGCTATCACCACCGCTGCCGCCTCCCTCCCCCCCCCCTCCGTTCCCCGTCCTCGCCCTCAAATCCCAAACTCTACTATCTTCCAGTGTTACTAATAGACTCATTGTTGAGCGCGAAAAAGTGATACTGATCGACGATGATTATTTATGTTATAATTCGTCCTCGATGTTACAGAAGAATCGTGTTTAATAAAAATTTCATTTGGACAAAAAAGAAAAGACAGTATTCGGCACTCAATTAACCAGTTCAAAGTATCGCCTGGGATCGAGATAAGCGGATTGAATTTTAACGAGTGTTCAGATTAGTCGAAGTTTCGAAAATGCTGAAAGAAAAAAAATCGAAGTTAAATCTGTGAAATGAAATGATTGTATATTTCTTTGTCTGTTTTCGCTTCGCTGATCCGTTAAAAAATTTGCAACTTGCATTTTTTCAGGGACGCGATGATGATTCATGGCTACATTTACACAGTGCATTTACGTTTATATCCCAAATTTGACTTTCAATTATTTAGGCTCCTTGACATAAACAGTGATAGATGATTTATCTTCTCTATTGTTAGGCTTCGTTTTTTTAGACCTAAAATATAGACCGCAGAATAGGTTTCTCGGTGTAAACGTAGCCATTCTTATGCCATTAAAGAATGAATGATCAAAGGAAATTTTTATTGAGAAAGATGAAAGATGCGTTTTTTTTTCTCGAGATATTGCCTGGTCTCTGTCCCCTTCGGACCCCCGAAGAGAGAATACAGTTAGAATCCGAGCCGCTTATTCTGAAACACTCCAAGTAGCAAGTGACGTCAAATGATATCATTAATAGCATTTTAATGATGTTTTTAATGTCAATAAAACTTCATTAAAAAAACGTCATCTTGATCCTTAGATCTTTGAAAATTACATTTAGGCGTAAATATACTTCTTAAATAATTTTAATCAATTTTTTTCTATCACTGCCATTCAATCGAGATGAGGGGGAACGGAACACGTGTTTGCTTCAACACTTTTCTGTTGCGATTCTTTAGGCTATATTTTAACAATATTATGTGCAACAAATTTTGTAGAGCGGGAACACTGCAAAAGACGTTGGTTGCGTTTCACGCTGTCTCGGTACTTCCGAGAATGATGATAATAAAGTGCGAACTTGTCCATCCGAATCATAAACACTTGTATCTCATTTATGTGAGCCGCCACGATCGCACTTGCGTACACCATCTAATTACGCAATCGAAGATTCCGAAGACGCTATACGATTGTGGGCGTACGCGATTCTGAGTAAGTATTATCCTGAGTACTTCCTCGTGATCATGTGATATCCTGTTATGTTTTCTTTGATATCTATTCAATTGATCTGATATCAACCGAGCATGAATTTCGCATGATAAGATAAAATAATTGAATCGCTGTGGAGATAAAAAAAAGAAACGTTTCCATAGAAACTCGCATTTTTTTCGCAGAGGCGTAATGACGATTATTACGTAGACAAAGAATGGTCCTAGGAACAGTTTTTATTGACAGAGATAAAAGATACGGTTTTTTTTAATCGATTTTAATATCTAAAGGGAGGGGGAGAGGGGGCGAAAACACTATAAGAGTCTACATAATGTGGTTCGATTATTCGCGAAATAATACTCAAGATATTACACATGGATCAATCGGTATGCGTACGTTCATTCGACGAGCCGTATATAATTATGCGTGAGAAAATAAATTAACAAAGTTCACGCACGCATACACCCACACGCACACACAGTTACTCTCTCGCGGAACGGAGGCGAGATGTACCCGCATATACGCGTTGTAATTCAGCAATTAAGACACGAATGTTGGTCAACGGGAAACATAGTGAATGTACGAATGTCCGATAACGTATTACAATAGTGTTACAAACGTTTTTCTTTTATTCTCTTATATACGAAGAGACGACCGGGTGATCAGTCCTCGTAAGATCCTCGCAGCAAGACGCGGTGCTTCTTGAAACCGCGAAACTACGAATAGGAATTCGATCCAATTTAATGTTCCTTGAATCAGACAGAAACAAGGACACGTCGCGAATAATACGCTACCATCCTATTCCGCCAATCCCTCCGACAAAGTATCGTCGCATTATGATCTACTTATTATACGCCGCTTCGGTTGCGAAGAAAAATTCTGGTTAAACACATTCGACGCGCGTGTATCCGAGTGCTGTCATCAAAAACTGGCTCGTGAATAATGTATGATAGTATGACATATTCGGATGAAGTAACGGAAATATCGAGTCTTATATTCGTATTCATAGTATCAGCCTTATATTTAAGGTTTCCTTAAATTTATCTTCAGATATTCTACGAATTATTTCATTAGCTGCTGAACTAATGAAATAATCTAAAGATAAATTTAAGGAAGCCTGAAGTACAAAGTCTGACTGTGAATAAGGGCATTAATCGATCGATGCTCTCATCACCTACATTTTTTTATCTAATTAAAAAAAAAGTGATGCTCTTTAGAGACAAAAAAACGCTTCAGTATGGCGATTAAATTATGGCGAGAAACCGTGGAACAATCAAGAATACATATGTACAATATCTTACAACGATAACAAAACCGTACCTAAATTTTTTCGGCGTCGTATATCCCGTTTTTACATTACTAGTTTTACAAATTCGGCAATAGGAACCTAGCCAGTTATTTGGAAGAAAAAAAAAGGCGCTGAGTATACAGGAGATTAAGCATCTCTATCAAACGAAGAAAAAAAAATGAAAACGGACGCGATATATTGCACGAAATTTCCGGTTTTCTTAATTACTAATATATCGAGCCGATCTGAAAATTATACAACTGCAATCGTACTCGATGACAATGCGAGAGATACATAGCTGTTCTCCACTCACATTCATCTCGATTAATACACGCGAAGACGCGATTTGCACGTATGGATTTTTTTGTATTCGATGATCGAACGAAATATAAAAACAAATTGCGCATATTGTGTGTGTGTGTGTGTGTGTGTGTGTGTGTGTGTGTGTGTGTGTGTGTGTGTGTATAAAGTGGGAAATGTGAGGTGAGGTGAGGTGAGGTGTGATGATCGATCATCAACGCAACAACCAGAGGGCCATTTGTAATAAATTACACCAAGGCATATTTTATTCTTTTTTTCCTTTTAAATACGAGTTTTAGTCGTGTCACTAGTGTTCGCTAATTATTACGTTAAATGGATGTGATGTTGGCTGCTGGTTGTTATTATAATTGTAATTAATTAGTACTTATTAGAATCAAATGGCGCAGCAAGTAGATACACGGGCAAACGGTGTTGCTCACTTTTTTTCATTTCTGTTTTAATTTAGGGGTAATAACGCTTGTACTTGGTGTATCCTAAATTGCAATCTAAAAATTTCATTCTTGTTCCGAAAAGAAAAGTGCTTCACTGTTTACGTACACTACTATCGGCCCTTTGCTTCTGATTAATTTCGACATATTTTTTTTCTTTTTTAGTCTTCATTAGAAAGATGTAGATATATTTCGGTTATTGATAATAATCAATTATATATAATTAATAATAATAATATTAATAATCATAGTAATAATTCCTCGTAATAAATGTAATGCTTGGTACACAGAGATAACAAAACGACTCCACTTATTGCCGCGAACAAAAAGGATACTTACAAAATGTGACACATGCACAATACTAGACAAAAACTCGGATAACACAAGAATGACCAGATTAATTTGTTTCGTGCTTTTTCTTTTTTTGTTTTCTGCACCATGACCATACAGTGGCGTAGTATCTTGATTATTTCTGCTGGCCCAATATTATATTTTATAAATTATACCGATATTTAATTATCTAAAAAAAAGATTCTAAAACGTCTTGCTTGAAACGTCTGTCGTATACCACTCGTTGACTACAAACTATCTTATTCCTTTCAGACATGATTGTAAAGTCCGTTCTTTTTCCAACCACGCATGAGGGCTTGAGACAGACTAACAAGATGTTTGCAATTCTGGATGATGATAACTCAATTAGTAAAACTGAAACACTTCCTGTGATTCAGCGATATAGATAGTAAAACTCTATTCCAAATCATAGATAGTCTGAATAATGCTCTCGAGGCTCTTGCAATTAATTCTTCTCATCCTCGTCGTCTTCTTCTTCTTCCTCTGATGCTTCAGCAAGCCATGTTAACCAGGAATTTACCTATAAATGATAAAAAATTTTTAATCGTTCAATTTAAATTATTCGATTAAATAAACAACGTATTTGCTATTTAATCTTAATTTTCGAGAAGTTCGAGTTTGACGAAAATTGACGTAAAAAATTATAACAAAATATATTGTTCTTAATAATGTGATTATAGCAGTGCTAGAATTTACTTGCACATTTCGGCCTATTTTCAACTTAGTTCTTGTCCTTTATTTCAACTCGCAGCCTAAATGCCGATCGGTTAAAAATCGGCCCAAATGTGCAAGTAAATCCCAGCACCGGATTATAGTTCGAACGAGAACTAGATGTAGATCCAGATTTAAGATTCGTTTAAATACTTTTAAATTCCACTGTGCAATTGTAGCAAACTCTTAAATAAAAATATGCTATTTTCTATATAGTAACCGATGTTTAATAACTGTAATAATTGTCCATCCATTTACCTGGAATAATGCCTTGCCCTTGCCCGGATAAGCATCGGTAACGGTGTCTCTCCATTTGTGGTATGCTTCCTCTTCGATAACTTCAAGGTTATAGAGTGCTATGAACCATCGTAGCAGCAGCCCTTTCGGAAAATTGTGCGAAAAGCAAAACACTTGAAGCGCATGAAGAGCTGTAACTTGTGAGTCGATGGTAGTCAGGAATGTGCGAATAAAGCGTGCATATTTCTGCAATAACGCACTTTCCTTCTCTTGCAGTTGTTTGTCTGGATTTACGGTCGGATCAACACCGGGCGCCAATGTTGTCTCCTATTATATATAGATAAGAAAAATGTTAAAATTTTACAAATTGTAAGATTCTAATTTTATTAATAATTGTATTTTGTCGTGTAAAATAAAATAAATAAATATGTTCAATAAGTTTTACTAACCCCAGTGATATACTTGAAAAGTACATTCATCATAGCATTAATGAATGCGGGATCAGAATGGTGTTGGGGATCCAGCTTCTCCTTGATCCATTTATAAAGAGCATTGGGCGCCGGATCGGCTTCTAATTGACGCCACATATCACCCTGGATTCTGAGAAGAGGATAGAGGAAAGTCAATTCCCGATCTTCCAAGATCTCACCCAAACGTTCCTTTGTTTTTTCTGCTTCTGGCAGTTGGCTAATAAGATCCACTTTGCTATCGTTGAAGATTTGCGTAAGTCTCGCCTTGCCCTGGGTTTTGTGAAGTTGCTGTAGGGTCAATAGAAACAGTGGATGATGACGACCATTTTCTGTTTCCGAGGCGAGATCCGTCAATTGGATTAAATTGTCCACTATAGCCTTAGCTGTCAGCAAGGCAACGTGGGATGCTACCAAAGGCACGGTACTCTCCTTCTCCGAAATACTGGCCACTAATTCCTTCCATCCTTCGTTCACTTGCTGTAGAGTGAGCAAGTTTTCTTTTTTCAATTCAGCTACGAACTTGGCAGCGAGCTCACGTTCAGAATCTCCACGATCTAACGTGTTCGAATACATTGTGCAGATTGCATGGCGCAAGAATCGTTCGGGTATCTTAAGATCTTTGAAAGCTGTCAGAGCGTCTTGCACATTCGTGTGGGACACGAGGTCATCCATTAAGGCATTCACCTTCTTCAACACTTCTTCTCGTGTCGGTCCTTTGTCTTTTCTGTCCCTAGCTTTCTCCCGTTTGTCTACAGGACCTTGTTTGATCACAATAGCAGGTGGTGTTTCTTTGTGCAGTAAAGGTGAGCTAGGCTTCAGAGCAGTAGTACGTAAGAGTGGCATGTCTGAGCCCCGTCCTGGGAACAAATCTATTATTTTTACGATTAATTATCACTATATAGTCTACATGATTAATCTGTCAGTAATAATTTTTCATTAGCGAAGATGACATGAATATTTACCATTGTTGAGAGGTAGGTTTAAGTTGATGTTGGTTTGTTTGAACATCATTGAATTAGCTGAGGGTCTTAGAGACACTTCTTCTGGATGTCCTCCGATCAGCATCTTATTTTTGTTGAATCGAAGTTGTTCTTTATTGCTATCTGTTGCAACAGACAGAGTAACAAATATCCATAAGAATTATTATTTGTTATAATTATTTATTATAGTTAATAAAAAATAACATTTAATTTATCGCTACTTACTGTTATTAAAGTTTTGCGGTAAATTATGTTGCGGTTGGTTGCGTTTTCCCTCATAATTGTTCTGATGACGACTCTGGTTTGGATAGTAGCCTGCTCCTGGCTGATTACGTTGGTTGTGGCGGCCATAACCAACGCCAGGAGTTCCTGCGAATCCATTCGGACTGAATGGTGGTGGTGGCATACCGAATGAGGGGGAAGTCAATGGTATACTTCCCATCATCTCCACGTCTAATCCGCCTCGTCCCATTTTTCGTAAAAACTCCGCACCGAGGCGATCCTCTCGTCCTCTGTGGAAACCGTTTCCCCGCGATGGCTCCTCGTTGTCGTTGCGGATCTGATTAATCGGCATAGGGCCTTCGGTGCTTGTGGCCTTGCGCGGTTTCCAATCATCACGGCGTAACTCAATCACATCACGCAGCATGAATTTGATGCGTAGAGGAAGATCCCTACTCTCTGCCAGAGAGTTCATACGTTTGAAGTATTGATCCATGAGTCCGCGGCCCTTATCCGAGTCAAGGATACGACCGCAGGTACGCATAATCTGGCAGAGGCATTCGATATCCTCCGCCGCGTCCCCCCGGGATCCCCCTCGCCTTTTCTTCTCCAGTAACTGCTGGATGCAACGATGTAAAATCGGCTCCGATACGATACCCAATTTTCCGAGCTCCCCAATGAATTTGATGTTACCAAGCATCTTGCGCTTGGCCACCTGTCGGCGCTCTTCTTCTTCGGGACCAAGCTCATCTTGATTCTCGAATGCCTCGCTTGCTTTTGAACGATTTTCGAACTCGTCTTTGCACTTGTTAAGTAAAAGAACTCTGAATGTGCTCTGGCCTTTTTGACTTTCATCGATCGGTTTACGGGGTTCAAAGTTTGCGGCTTCGTCAGACAGCTGTTTGCACAGCCGTGCGTACATAGAACTGTACTTGGGTTCATCAAGTGCTTTTTCGAAGATCTGAAAAATTGGTATTTCATTGAATCATTACAATCTGTATAATGAATAATCGTTGTTTATACGTACCAAGAAAATAACACCCTTGAGAATCACATGGGAATTAAGCTCAACGTTGAGCAGGTCGTTGCTCAGCTTTGCGAATTTTTCCGGTGTGAGCTTGTTAAGAATACCCCGCACCTTTCTAAAGATGAGATCATTTCGGCTTTCTGGGGTGAGTGCATCGCGTCTAACAGTTGAAGGAGGGATCCAGCGTTGCTCAGTGGATAGGGAGCGAATATCGTCCCTGGAAGGCATCGAATTTTTCTAATGTCAGTGTCACAAGTAGCAACGCAACGATTTGTGCTGATCTAATAAGTAATCGCTTTCTCGCGTTTGTATTTTTTTTTTTTGTTTTTGCGTTACTTCCAAGGTAACTTTGTGGACCCTGACCTTCCTCCCGAGACACGAGAAGCACCCCCCGGTCCTGTGGGGTTGTCCGTTGTTGCGCGTGTTTTGGCCCCCTTAGTGATAAATCACAGCACACAGATCTTCCTTGAGGAAGCTGTAAAAATCACGTCGCACGTTAAATTAAATATTCAACACATTTCTCTCAAGTATTGCTTATAAATATTAATTGTAACTTATATCAATAGCATACCTATATTATATTATATTATTTCACGCTTGAGAATTTGATTTGTATGTCCCAAGAATTTTAACTTTTGAATTAGTCTATTTGAAATGCGCGCTTTTAAATGTAACTTAAATCCGTACACAATCTTTTTTCTCCTTTTTCTTTTGCTAAAAAAAGCGATCGCAAACACGGTTTATCGCTTCGACTAACGTGCCGTTGCAATGAACTCGTTCAATAATATTCGAGGACATTCCTTTCATCGCTACCGTGACCCATATGTGCCATTTACAATCGTAATTGCGCATGCGAGCGCAATTTTAGAGAAGGTTCTACTTGCGCGCACGATAAATGGCGCATGCGAGTCCTACGGTTAATGCACTCGAATCAAGTGGTTCAAGGATAAAATCATCAGACGGGACGTCACGTTTAGTGAATCGATTGACTACAGCAATTGGCGCACAGTCTTTTCAAGTAAAAAGTTATAAAGATTACACAAAAAAAAAAAACAAAAAAAAAAAAACGAATGTAAAACTCTAAATTAGATTGACATTAGACAACGACCTCCTTTCAAAAACGAAGCTCTTGCTAAGAAAAAAGTATTTCAAGATTATAAAGAGGATTCGCAGTTGGAGGATTAGGAATGCATCCGACAATTTCGAGACACCCTATAGCCTTCGGAAGGTCTTCCACGCGGACGAGGCAAGGACCTTCTTTCCCCGGGGAAGAAGACGGCTTTGATCTTGCTCGCCTGCTTGCTTACCCGCCCGAGAACAAAACGATCGAAACCTATAGGGTGAGGGGAACGTCGAAGGGGAGCGTATGTGGGGCGCGGCTCATGGTCAGACGGTCAATGAACCCTCTTCTCTTAACCCCCTCCTGTTTCACCTCGACCGATCATCTCGCGGACCCTGCCGTCGTTCGGCCGAGGTCGGATGACTTCGTCAGGCTGCTCGACGGTGGTCGTGCCCGTCCGGCCGCCTCTACCGGGTGTCCCAAAAACCCTCAATTAGAAACGATCGGCAAGTGGATGACTATGCAAGTATGAGCGATACAAGTAACACATTGTATACACATATCTTGTAACTAATACTGAGAGAAAATCTATTTATTTAAAAAATAGGCACAAGGAATAAAATTGATACTTATGAAAAGAATTCATGTCTCTAATAATTCGATCGATTAAATTTTATACTATTAGATCTGTCTGTATGAAATCAAACGTATAATTGACATCTAAATTGAGGTTTCGCACTTGTCGAAACAGCATTCGCTGTTAACGAGAGAGAAATCGACGCCCGCATTTAGCGTCAAATGTAATAATGAGAAGGCAAGGCTGGGTTTTACGAAAATAGCATTCTCTAAACATTTGGTTTCAACTTGACAGTGTATGTAATATATGTAGCCTGGCTTAAATGCGCAATGAAAATATCCGGTCTCTCACGGACGCATCCATGAGCGATCAGCGTGAGCTTGAATACCAAACGAGAGAAAGAGAGAGAGAGAGAGAGAGAGAGCGAGAGAGAAGAGGAAAAAATCAACTTGTTAGAATGCATCGGAGCAAATTTCCGAACGCAAGAGATACAAAAACCGAAGATTGGCCTAAATCTGAACGTCGAAAATACTCATCAACGTGACACGGCAAAATTGCCACGCGCCGGACTTTGCGTTGTCGAACTTTGAAACGATAGACTCGCGGAACGTCACGCACTCGCCACGTGATACATACACAGAATGGTTCCATCCGAATTCTCAATTCGTCTGCCATGCATCGTTGAGAGTATCAAAAATCTCGACCACGTGCGATCGAATGGCCTTCGAGCATCTGCTTCATAAGCACGTCTCGCATGTTAAGTTGCGATGCATAGAAACGATTAACAGACAGCGATACCCGGAAAGAGAGAGAGAGAGAGAGAGAGAGAGAGAGAGAGAGAGAGAAGGCAAGAATTCCGCGCAAGCTGCAACCGGTATTCGTATAATCCACGAGGTCAGGATTACAAGAGTATGCACGTGTCGGAATTCGAAGATATTAAATGACAGAGATGCGTACAACGAGAACGAAGGCCTTTGCCTATCGCGTCTTTTAAGGCTGGTTTCTTTGTCTTTTGACAAATACGACGAAGTGCACATTTACGGCTCCATCGGCGTTACCAGTTATTTAATTACTTATCCGAAAAAAAAAAATCTGCACGTATTTCTGAGATGCATCAACCGTCATATGAATCGTTTATTTAGTAACCGCTAGTAATCGGTCGCAACGATAATTTCACGAATGTCCTACAGCAACGAGAATTACGCCGTGGAACGCAGAAATTGCATCGCAATTAATGATAAACACGTGATAACGAATGATAAAAAAACCGTTAAACAAACAGTGACAATTAATAATGCTGACGATAAACGTAATGAGTAACGCATGGCAAAGAGAGAGAATATTTAATCTTCCGCTGGCAACATGAACTCTTCCGTCAGTAATACAGATTTTCAAGAAAAAAAATCTTAGTATACTTGTGAAAGCTTTAACGAATTTTTATTATCATAAAAGATTGTACTTCACTTATTTTTTATAAATTTATCTCAAGTTATTTATTACAAATTTATTACGAAGTTCGTAATATATTTATTATGAACTTATGTTTAATTGGTTTTTTTTTATTACAAATTTAATTTGCCAAATTCACAATCAAAATATTACAATTAATTAAAATATGGTACTTTTAAAGAATTGTCAGCGATGAATTGGAGAACTGGTACTTAATTTTATTTTTTAAAAAACTAATCTCCGAAGCAAATAATGGATGCTTTTCATTTAGTGACACACAAGCCGACACAAACATCATTCTATCTTTCCTAATATTCCAGTGACTAAAGTAAAGATGGAACGACACTGTCGATTTATGTCATCCAATTTTTCTTGAGGCTATTAAACGATTAAATTCTCTCCGCATATTAATATTGCGTTGATATAAAAAAATTTTCAAAAATATTCAACTTGTACAGGAAACGAGATCATCATTGTCATATACATATAAGTATGTCTACGTTGCACTTTAGAACAAAGATAAGATCTCGTCGCGGTATTCCACGCCGTGAATAATCATCCAGTAATTTTACGAATGCGGACTTTCCTGTTCCGATGTTTGCGCGCTGGACTTGGATGAATTTATTAACTCTCTTGTTAGGCGGATTAATATTGAAATGAAATAACGCTAAATATGAAATAACACAATTAATCAAATAAAACTGGATTTGCAATTAATTTCGCTAGCGGACATATGAAAACTGAATATATGAAAACTTTTACATCCTCGAAATACGACAATTATATAGAGATACGCCGTGCGACGATACCTATTTACTTGTATTAACGTCAGTATTATTAATAAAGGAGGATAATAATAAATTTAATACAATATTTATCGATTCGTAGTAAAAGGCAAATCAACGTAATTGACAGGACAAATAAATTGGATAAATCAGAGCTACGCGAACAGCTGTTGTTTAAGATTTGCAAATTAATGGATACAATAATCAACACTAAAATTAACGCTAGGCTTTTTTCCCAGTCATTTGATTCAGAAATTCGCCGAGAAATAGTTGACCTTTCGCGAAATATAGAAAAAAAAAAAAAAATAGCGGAAATATACTGTAGATTTGTTTTCGCGATTGGCGCACGTTGCTTGATTGGCGGACGGTGTCGACAGGGTCCTTGAGAGAAATCGTCATGCACAAGGTGGATGACGACGGCACACAAAGAGATAGCGATAGAGTGACGCAAGGCGATAGAGTGAGTGAAGAGTGAACGAATGAACGAGTGAGTTGAAGTGAGCGAGCCAAACTTCCACACAGCCCCTCTTCCCCCCAACAAGTACACCATTACTTTCCGTTTCCTCGTGACACGTCACTGATGCGCCGTGACGACTCTCTACAGACCTGCCAGGGCTGCCAACTATCAGTCGGAAGGCTAGCAAGGGAGGTGAATTGAATGGTAAATATATGCCCGTATTCATAGTCAGACTATGTTCTTAAGACTTCCTTAAATTTATCTTTAGATGCTCAACAGCCAATGAAATAATTCGTAGAGCATCTAAAGATAAATTTAAGGAAGTCTTAAATATAAGGCCTGATTATGAATATTATATTTCAGTATTATATTTCAAGAAGGCATAATGGCAAACAGGGAAATAATAAAAACTAGTAAGCAAGTGGACTTGTTACTCGCTTGTGATCAGAACTTGCTGGAACTGTGTCGAGCAAGCAAAAAGTTCTCTTGATTAAAAATGTAAACGAAAATAATAAGTGGAGGAAGTACGATTCAAAGAATTTGATAAGAGTGAATAATTTGGTTAGTGAATAGTTTGAGAAATTTTGAATTCCGGTTGCATCCAATGAGGAGAGACGAGCAATGAATCGCCCATTGATATTTTTCCAAGGAAAAATAATGAAGAAAGACGAGTGATTTGCTCGCTCGCATAACTCGTCGTTGAAAGTAATAAAAAGATAAACAGCCAGCTTATTCATCCAACCATTCTGACAAGATTGTCAGAAAAAAGATAAATAAAATTGCTTGAGTTTTTGTCTTCGAAACTAACGAGAGGATAAGGATAATAAGTTGTTCGCGTAACTTTTCAATAAAAGATAATGAAAATACTCGCCATGTTTCTTAACTGAAGAATAATGAACTTGATATTTGCAACGAAGAAGATATTTATGATTTCCTAAGAAAATAGATAGTTTTAATATGTAGAAATTATCAAAAAGACGTTGAACACAAGAATAGAATAGAAATAGAAGATTACTTTATCGCAACTTTGCACCTCTTTAAAATAAATTATACATTAATTTTGCATAGGTGATAATTCATGACACATTTTCATTTTTAGAGCACATGCAAAATTGACAGTGGTTAGTCGAGTAGAAAAAAAACAGAAAAAAAAGCACGATAACGTCGATAAGCGTCTTTATCTTGTGTCGTGCATTCACAAGAATACTCGAGAATTGAGTCAGCCAAATGTATATACATTGATAACGTTGTCATAAGAGCATCTCGACCTATAAAAGGTCTGTATTTGTTCCAGCTGTTTCTCATCCAATGGAAAATCTGAAGATTATCGGAAGAATTTCAAATCCAATTTTGAACAAGAAACATAACGTGCTCATTGTGTGCCGAATAAATATAGATAGAAAAACATGACAAAGATTTATCGAAGAATTCATAGAAAAATAAAATATTGGAAACATTAGATATTTCAAGATTACGAAAGGACAATTAGGATTTTAAAATATCCAATGTTTCTTCCAAGAATTACAGTCGGTACAGTATAACTGCAAAAGTTTATTTCACGAATAACAACAATTGTCAATTGCGAAAATTGGATTTACAAACGCGAAACAATAAATGACAAAAGTAAGTATGTAAAAAAAACCCTCATTGTCAGAGTGAAAATTGTTTATCGAAACATCGATGAAAGGATCGCGAAGAATCAAAACGGACATAAGAATTTTCGAATCATTATAAAAACGTCGCGTTCATTGATACGCGTAATGCATAAGTAGACTAGATACGGTCTCGCGGAACGAGCGGCTGAAAGAAAATCTATTCAGAGCGTCTATTCATAGTCCGATAAGCGTTTTGAAGTCTGCCGTGCAACAAAAGAGGGCCGATCGAGCTCATGTGCACCGGCGCGGTCGTTTAAAGGCGGATATATAGCTCATGTGCTCCGTCGCGACGCGTCGCGTCGCGACGCGACGGCACACAATCGCACACGAGAAACGAGAAGCGTGCATTTAATGGAATAGAACAGGTTTTTCAACCAGATGTTTTGTGCCAGCATTCTTCGAATTCTCCCTTCAACACTCGAACGTCCGATTTTATCTTAGAGATTCCTGGACATTTCTTCAGCAAAGTCACAATTCTAAATTACCGTGACAAAAACGGCGAGATTTGTTACGTTATAAAAATATTCCAATTTATTTATATTACATGAAACTACTCATTCTTTCCGAAGGGAAGAGACGAGACTGTCTTCACATCAGGAATAACACCTCAAGACGACTCATTCCTTTAAATATATATAACGATAGCGAAAAATTATCGCAAATCGAAACTATCAATCGACGCACGGGAGAAGGATGATTATTAATAGATGTCGATTATATTTCATACGAGTAACTCGATTAGATCAGCAAACGAAACGCGTGTCTAACATAAAAATAGTTCAGACGCTCCTCGCCAATTAATAAGCAACAAATAAAAGCATGCTGAAGGATACATGAAATATATCCTATTCTTAACTTTCTCCCTGTTCCCTCCCTCCCTCTATCTGTATATGACACGCGCAATCGTGATATACCCTTTTTGCGTGGATATACCTCGCGTGTATATAATATTTAGAGAGCGCATGATCGAGAGCTAATAAAATCGTCTATCGGTCGAAGCCTCATCTCTGGAAACGTCAGAAGCGTGACGATCTGCCACACTGTTGTCACACGCCTGCCCTCGTGCTCGACAAAGTCGGTCGTGTGTGCATGTGGGCTGATGTGGGCACTTCGCGGACTCGACTCGAGTCGGCTGTCGACATCGATCGACGAGGAGGTAATACGTTACACGCGTATCCCTTGGAGTACCGCTCGACGCGGACGAAGGAGTGCCCGTTGTATTTCCGAGAAGGTAGAACTTCCGGAGGGAGAGAGAGACAGACAGAAGCAGAAAGACAAACAGAAAGAGAGAGAGGGGGGGGGGGCAGTGACGCGATCCCGTCTTTTTTTATTCTCTCTCTCTCTCTCTCTCTCTCTCTCTCTCTCTCTCTCTCTCTTCCCCCTTTTGGAGAGACAACACGTAATGGCGAGGATTCGCTCGCTCATTCGCCATATTCCGAGCCTTAACCCCTTCACGCATTCCCTCGTAATGAGGATCGAGAGGGCGAGAGTTATTAAATTATTAAATCCACTAGACTGAATGATGAAGTAAAATAATTATCAAGACTGAATTATTAAGTAAAGTAATTACTCCCTTTTCTCTAAGCACATAAAAATTAATGCTATTTTGTACACATGTGTGTGATTGCAATTTCCAGAACTTTTTTTGTACATTTTTTTAATTAGACACGCATTCGAATACATACATATAAAGATTCTGGAAAACTTGTCACGGTTTACACTGTTTACAAAATTAACTTAGTTCTAAAATACTGACAATAAGCAAAACACAGATACAATAGTACTGAACGAAACACGTGCTCCAACATTTTGAGTTAGCACACGTCCTTTTAAACATTCCTCTTCGGAATTGTTAAGTACTTAAAATTCATCGTTTGCCGTTTCACCACAAGTTTAAAAAATACTTATCGAAATGAGTTTCTACGTTTCTTTATTCGGATGATGTCAGTATTTTAGATATTAACAAATACAGACGTGCGAAGCAGAGAGGAGGAAGAGAGAAAGGCTGTCGAGAAGTGCGGTTTGGAGCGAGTTTTCTACACTCGAGGTTCTCAGAAAGATAGCAATACGAATTTCCAGATAACAATTACACGCGGGTAGCTCATCGCACGTCATAGACGTCATTCGACGAAATCATCTAACGGGAACGCCGCGTGACGGAGGTGAACGAGGAGGACCCGCACATAGCAAGCTGCGAGTGTCTCCAACTTCCAAGGAGAAGCGTGGCGTCGAAAGCACGTACTAATTCCGGAATTCGTCGAAGCAAGAGAGGGCACGCGCGGCAAGAAGGGCGGCGGGAGGAGGGCCCTCTTGGCCCTCTTGGTCCTCTTCTCCTTCCTCCACTGCTTCGCACTGCTTCGCACGAGGAATCCGTGCATGCGAGCGACAAAGAGAAACGCCCTGAGAGCCGAGAACCTTCTGCCTCCTCCTCGCCTCTCCTCGTGCGACGGAAACTCAGCTCCAGAAACCGTTCCATTTTTTTCAACTTGTCACACGCGCAAGAAAGAGAAAGAATCCATCTCGACAGCCCAAGACCTCTCTACACATGTTAAAGTGTCAAACGTGGGAATTGCGTGGGCGACGACGAGTCGCGAGACGCGCTTCGCGCGACGGATTTCCCTTTTTTTCTTCCGTTTCACGGAAAAAAAAGAGCTTCAAGGGAAAACGAACGCACTGACGAGATGCTCGGAAAAAGAGAGAAAAAGAGAGAGAGAGAGAGAGAGAGAGAGAGAGAGAGAGAGAGAGAGAACACCGTCGCGAAAATTCTTCTCTCCGCGGGCCGACATGACGCGTGCTCGCACGGGGTCCGCGGCCCCCAGAAACGAGACGAGACGAGACGATAGGAGACGAGACGAGAGGAGATGAGACTCGGCCCGATTGGAGGGCTCGCGAAGATTCGTCGTAAGGCCATCGTAGGGCGAAACGTGGTCGAGCGACATTTCGCCACGCGAAATAACGCGGCCACACCGTCGCGCGATCGTCCCGCACGCATTTCGCCGCACCCACGTCACTCCGCACCCGTTAATTCGACGTGCAAAACCAAGAGAGATCACAATAGCGTTTACTTACGGCCCGACCGTTGTTGTTTCTGAGACTCCGCTTTCGCAATCTGTCGGTCGCGCTCGGCAACTTCCGTAAGACACGTCTAGTCAAGTCACCGTTCGACCGCACGTCGCGTGACTGCCTTCGCGCCACGCGACGTGCGATCGTCGCGCCGGCTGATCGAATAAATTCTTACGATATTTTCCCGTTCGACTTTATGCAGTCGCCCGACAAAAAGCTATGAAATTAAGGCTCCTTACAAACTCGGCCTTGATCTCGTCGGTGATGATACCAATGGACGGTGTTCTAGACACTACTACGCGAGTCCTTGCGAATGGAACGCTCGTCGATTTTCCTGATGAGACGAATATCGTTAGGAAAATTCACGTACGTCTATTATAAATTGTAGAAATCATCTCCGCTCAAATTTAGAAATTTTATTCGGAATTTGACCGCTGGACCGACGACCGGAAATCGGCCGTCTCCACCTCGACTTGATTTCGGTGGTGCGCGTAAATTCTACAGACAGAAAATCGAATCGAATTGATTTCGTGGAGACAACACTCGAGCGGGGAACGGCAAATCCGAGAAAAATTCGTGGACTTACCTCAGTGAAGCGTTCGCGTCGTTCTTCGTGCAAATCCGTCTCGATCGTGCGTAACTAAGCGGCGGAAAGAATAGGAATTGTAGAAGAAAAAAAAGATCAACGCGCGCCGGGGTAGCAGATTCTCTCGTTGCGTTCACGGAGGGGAGTACAAAGGATCTGTTGTCACATAGCCGGTGCTCCAGATCGTTTTAGGCAACTGTCAGTTTCTCGAAGATCTCGGTGCAGGTAGATATTTTCGTGCGTTTTTAAATGTGATTCTACAAGGCGATCTACATTTATATATTTAAGGACACTTGTGATACGCGGATTCAGGTTAGTATGGACGCATCTCGGCGTATTATCCGCCGAGAGCGATGCCTTGTCCTCGCGTTCGCTAATTTAACCCCTCAAACTAGGTGTTTTTCATAGAGATTTCATAGCTCTGTTCACTATTAAATCCCTTCCTGTGTATGTGTGCGTGCGTGTCTCATTGCGCGAGGAACACAGAGGAGCGTCTTGTAAATTTAGCTCTGCGACCGTGACGTTCGTGCCATCATATTTCTAAGCATTTAAATATCGCGAGAAACGAACAACTAAAAATTTTTCACTCTGCGAGAACTAATTTCTATATAAATCTATGCCTTATTAACAAGTTTGTACGATCAAACATTTAGAAAGCGCATACAAAAAGGACGAGTTTTATTTTGCATTTTTTATAAGTAATAGCTGCAAGTGTTATCAGCAAATTAATTTTTTTGTAAGTAATTACATTTCATATTCATATAATTGATTCAATTTTTGGGAGTAAATATTTAGTACTAATAGAAGTCATATTAGGTGAGACAATGATATATCTTAACAAAAATGCTATTATAATTATGTTATCTGACATAATTATATATATAATTTTTAAAGGATTATATTTTTTGTGTAATTTTAGTATTGCTTTTTATATATTTTACTACTTTGTACACTTTGTTATTCCTTTTATTTTTGCAAGAGATAGTAGTATTTTAATATTAATGATATATAATCTAACAACTTGAAATACTTCAAGTTGGTACATTATCTATCATTTATCTATTATAAATTTACTTTGCAATATGTAAAGCTAATTGAGATTTTCTTTACAGAATGGCTCAGCGTCCTCAGAACTATGGGTCTACGGATCAACGGGTGGATGTACCTGAAATAGGATTTAGTCCTACTGAACTTTATAGTCTCTGTGAAAATATTACCACTAACATATATACGATTAATGCAAGTTGGAAGGTTTTGGAAAGAGCTTACAAAAATATCGGAACCAGCAAGGATAATCAAGGTTTAAGAGACAAAGTGTAAGTACAATAAAAATTTACAATAATTATAATAGTAAGAATTATAATGATAGGAATACAGAGGTCAATATAATATATTTTAAAACAATGCATTCAATTTAAATTTTATATTCCTATCTTTTCAGACATGTAACACAATCGAGTACTAATCAGGTGGTCACGCAGATAAGCAAGGATATAGCGAGACTGACGATGCTGATGAGACGTGGGGACAAACAGCAAAAATTACAAATTGAGAAACTTACAACAGATTTTAAAGATGCATTGCAGAGATATTCCGATATGCAGAAGGTATGCGATATGAGATATGTCTCTAATAGTTGTCTTGATTACGAAGAATTTATAATTGTGAAGTTTTCATTTTGTTTTAACATTAATAACAAGGTATTCTTTTCAGTCAATTGTTGAGAAGATGAAGAGACATATTTTAACTATGACCAATATAGAAAATTCAATGGATGGGGATGACACTGAAGAGACACACCGCCTACTTCTAGTACAGGAACAAGAGCACAGGACTACACAAAGGTTTGGAAATAACATTTTTTGCATTCACAGAAAGCAATGGAGTATTTGTGTGCTCACAAGTAATGCAGAAAATCTTACCTATTTGCTTAGTTGGAACAATAGCAATGGTTTTCATTGCATTTTGGACAATGCTGTAAGCATAGAAGCTCTCATGATTGTATCGGCTAATGGAGATTGTAAGATTTTCTGGATGAAATAGCAATAAAACTTGTGGATTTTATAGCATGCCCTTAACAAAAAAAAAATAGAACTTAAAATTTCAGTGAAAAGATTAATTACTTACACGACATGTATTATTAATATAGAAAACTTATAAAATATGTATGGTAAGTCAGTATCTTGTAAAAAAAATGACATTATGAGACTTTAATTAGAAACAACTTGTGATCAATGTGTACTATGGCATGTACAGGACACTCGAATTTCAACACGGGCTACTCTTAGAGAGAGAGGATAGGATAAAACGTATTGAGGGTGATATTTTGGATGTGAATCAAATTATGCGCGAACTCGCGGCATTGGTGCATCAACAAGGTGATACTATTGGTAAGCATCCTCTTTTCACTACTAATAATCTTATAGATATAATAGCTGCAAGTTTTTTGTATAATATGACGGAAAAATTGTAGAATATAAAACACAGTTTTCTAATCTAAGTTTTTCAATTTAGAATATTCAATTTAACAAAATGTTACAAAATATACACACTTAATGAAACCTAATAATTTTTTTTTCTAGATACAATTGACAACCATATAGAGAATATACACGGCAATGTCGAGCTAGGAGCGCAGGAACTGGAGAAGGGAAGTAATTACCAAAGTAAATTTCGTCGGAAAGTTTATATCTTGTTGTTACTTGCGATTATAGTTGCCATTGTATTAACTGTTATTCTAGTCATTAAATTAAGTTAGCGACCCTAGCCTTTGCGCGGGTCTTACTGATTAACGAAAAGGGTTGTCTCAATCTGTCTCATATGTCGTTTGAAAGTAGTTTCTTCAAGAACCATCTCGTTTTGCCCGTTTCTATATATTGAAGATGTAAGGAGAGTATAGAGACTTATTTTATATCTGCTTACCAATGGAATTGTCTCCTCTATTTTTGGAGATGTTATAGCCATTTTGAAATTTTATAAAACAGTATTTAATAATTTCACATATAAAATATGAATTTTTATAGGCTTTTTAAAATTCCGTTTTTACTCTCTAGCTGAATTATTATTGAATAAAATATTAGATCAAAGTAAAAGCTAAAATAATGCTTTTATCGTTTCACACATGCCTATCTTGTAATATACAATTAGTTATTTCAAATAATATTCATTTTCTATATTATTTATGAATATGAAAGATTTCGTATTTCTAAAAAATAAAAAATTCTATTATTTATCATAAGTATTGCTTCAATATTATGCGTAAAAAAATTTTTAGTATCATGCTTCGATAGCTTTAAACTACCCAATGGTGATACAAATATTCATGTCAATAACAGAAATTTGTTAATATCGGTTTATAGTTTGAAAACATATATTGTTGGTACTATATATTAACTTGACTGATGCGTTTCCTTAGCAAGATCTAGATATATCTAATATTGCATAAAAGAAGAAAGAATTATATTCTATACAAAAAAATTTGTAAACAGATTTATAAATAGATAGAAGACGTACGTTTCGCGAACATGAAACTGCACAAGGAAAATGTTATTTATTTATTGCCGCCATATGATGAAATGATATTATCAAAATGTATACATAATTATAATCAAACTAATACAAAATTTTGCGTATACATATTTTAATCGCATATTGGTCTTAATTATCAATCAGAATATTAAATATTATTACACATATGAGTACGAATTACGATTAATAAATTGCTGTAATGCAAAGAAAGCCAAACTTAGATAGACGAAAATTATGAGCATTATAATTAGCACTATAATTGGCATATAATCAATTAGAAAAATATTCTTGTAATAAAATTGTATTATATAATTGATTTGGTCAATGATTTAAATTATATATACATGTATATATATATATATAATTTAAATCATTGACCAAATCAATTATATGTATATATAAATATACATACATGTTTTCTGAGTAGCAATATCATTTAAATTGTGTATACTTTATTATACATTTAAATTTTTATCCTTTCTAATAAATATAATTACAATTTTATTGAAAGTTTTTTTTCATACAATATGCAGGTGCTAATTAATTTTTTTGCAAATAATAATTTTATATTATTTTATCATGTTATATCTATGAAATAATTTTCACATGAAATAACAGAAATGTATTTTTAAAAAGATGTGTATTAAATTTTATGGAAAATAGAAAAAATAATTTTTAGAGGATATTGTAACTTAACAAATATATACAGAGTATTATCGTTGTACGTAACTTAAATTTTCATAAGTTTTCGGATATTATTGCGACATAGATTATTTAATTCAATGCTATTTTATAATTTATATTATTAAAAAAATGCCGTCTATATTTGAAATTATGTATTGTCAGACAAAAAATTTGATTGAGACAGCCACTTTCCTACGATTACCCGATTCTGATATGATTATTAGGCATTCCGAATCTTAAAAATCCAACATATAATAATTAAGATTATAATCTGAATATTGTATATACAATTAATCATATTAACATCATTTAAATAAATAGTGCTATGATATTGATATCGATACTTACGCTTAATATCAAGTATAATAGCTTTATTATCGTTGTTGATTTGTATGTGCTAAATTAATATTAGGCATTAAATTATGTTTTGTTCTTTGCAAATAAAAGTTTTTTTATACCCTGTATATGATATGTGATTATATAATATATTGATTTATACCAAAAAATATAAAAGTATATTTAAAATATACAATCTTCAGTATTGTAAAAGCATGGAAAAGCATAAATGTGTAAAGAAATACATACAAATCAAAGATATCCATATTTTTTATTGATTTTTCCAAATTACTAGTAGAAAAATAATATCAGAGCTTAAGTATTTTATTATTCTTCACATCCAACAATGGACGTGACTTTTGTTGTACATTATATAACTTTTAACATGAAAAATTTATCTCTGTGATAAAAAATATATATTATACATACATATATGAATGGTAGAAACACTTGTTGTCAGAAAGTTTATATTTAATAATAGAAATCGATTTTTACATATGCGAAAAATTAATATCTGTATAAAATTTTCTTATACAATCTTATTTACAAGGCAATATTTTGTAAAAAAACTAATCTTATAAAAGAAAATATTCTCATAACTTAAAAACACATACATATAAAAAGGCACATATGTGCTGTAAAAATTTTAATTTAATATACAATGTACATACATATATATAAATATAAATACGTTCTCTTAATTCAAAATTTTATTTAAAAAATTATTGATGCAATGAGACTTATACATGTCTTTTTAAAATAGAATAATTTCCAATTTTGTGTTAGTAACATCTCCATACATATGTAAAATTAAATCTCAGTATCTTTTGAAATAGGAATTATATGTTCCTATTAATTTTACAATGCTCTTATATAATTTCATATCTTGTTATATTTGTGCAAGAGCATATATCTAAGCTTTTATTTTATTTTGCTGTTGAGATCGTCTGGCTTTTATTCGTGATTGCAATGTGAGCAATAGGCCTGCGAGAACGTCGTGATTCGGTAACTTTTTCGCAAATAACAAACGTTTGACCGAATCGTCATAAGTCAAAAGAGCCACCATATTTTGTAACAAAAATCCTTGACAATATTCTAAGAGTTGTGCCGCATTATATACCTGTAAATTTAAACATTTGATAAATTATTAAATGATAATTTAAAACGTGCAATATTTGTATGAAAATATTATAAAAATATACAAGTAAGAATTTAAAGCTTATAACAATCGAAGCTGGATCTTTGAATGCTTAAATAATTCAATTGTATTACACACACACGCGCGCGCGCACACACACACACACACACACGCACGTACGCACGCACGCATATATCGGGTGTTCAAAATAAAGTGTTACAAATTTTTATTTCGGATATACGGCATTATTGAGAAAAATTGTTCAGACAAAAGTTATAGGATTCGAAAAGGTCATTTATTAATCTTATTAATTTGACCTTGATGTCGGCAAGTTTAAGGTTACATTGATTTTTTAAAATAGAATAACCTTTTGTTTCCAGAATCTATGCTGATGTCGAGAGCATTTCCGAAACGCTTTCCAAAACGCTATAAAAAAATATTTTTTTATTAAACTTTTTGAGTTATAATGCTTGAAAGTTACAAAACTCCCGGCATTAGCATTATCCAAGGTGATGGACCAAATGGTTAAAATCTTTTGAACATTGTTCAGGATCATGTTTTGAATAACATTTATCAAGATCAAGGCCATTGGAGATTATTCCCCTTATTTTCATTTTTGCACTAAAAATGAAAATAAGAGGTACAACCTCTTCAATGGCTTTGACAAATAATATCCAGAATATAATCCTGAACATTCAAGAGGTTTTAACCAATGAAAAAATTTTGAATGCGTAATTTAAATGACTACAAATATGGTATGCATGTACATATATGCATATACATATGTAATATATACAAATTCACATTTAAACATTCTTTTTAAAAGATTCTGCTTTGATTATTATGGCCTATTTCTTATTTTCTGTTTGTTGAATTTTCAAAATTACGATCCAATAAGATTCTTGTTGTTTATAAAATATTAATCATATTATAACGTTGACTACCGAAAAATTAATTATTATTTATGGCAAAAACAGTACTTTTTTCTGTTAAGGTTAATTCAATCTATTTGCTCAAAGAGATTCGCTTATTACCAGTTCTGTATATGTAATCACTAGATATACGTAGACGCGTATAAAATTGTGTTTGATTGAAATTTACTAATGTTCGTACAATTATTAATTTCTAATGCTTTTTATATTCTTATTCCAATAATAAAAACGTATTATTACAAAATGTCTTAATTGTTATAACATGATAAAATGTCATTAAATATATACTCGTACGTACATATGATAAAATAATAGTTACAGGAACTGTACCGAATGCAAGTTCTCTTATATTAGGTGTAGTAAAAAAAAATCCATTATTTTTCCATTCAATTTCATGCAAAAATAATGGATTTCTTTTTACTACACCTATAAGATCTACACATCAGGCATTTATATAATAGCAATTTACAATTTCATGAAAATATATGTTTAATTACAATTCTAATCGTAATACTATTTCTGTTTTTGTTACATGGTTTAATAAAGTGGACATATTGCTAAAATTACATATAATTTCTGTATTACATTTAAATGTACGACATTTTTGAGTTATAGACATTTGATTCCTTCAGATCAAATAATAAAATTTTCTTTTATATTTTCACGAGCATGAGCCTACCATGATGGACAGCACGCGAGTCTACCATGCCAGGAAACTCGGTCCTAAAGGTTCGATTCCCGGCAAATCTAAAAAATTTTCACGTGCTTATGAGCTCCTCTTCGGCGATCTGGCAAACCAGAGTATTTATTGCTAAGAAAACCTCTCAAAACTGCCATTCGGAACCGGCATGAAATTATAGGTTCCGTATATCTGTGTACAATCTTGCGTACGCACCAATAAAAAATTCTATGGAATACTGAAGTATTTTGTTATGTCATAATAAAATAATTAAATATTCCATAGAATTTGTTATTTTTAAATAACAGAATTTAGCAGAAGCTTACAAAGCATTAAACGACACAGAACTTCTCCGATTGGGAAACGTAAATGAAAAGTACACAATATCAGACTTAACTAAATACCCAGAACGTGAAAATATTCATTCATTTCGATGGTGCAACCTCACAAAGTCGGGATCTCTCGTATGTATGCCCGTGGTGCGCACGTACCAAATTGTAAATAGCGTAACAGGGAACCTACACAACAGTTTTAAGAGATTTTCTTGGCAATAGATACTCTTG